TGGAGCTTTTAATTTCTTGGATATCTCTTTGAGTCTGTTTCAGGCATCCCAATTCTTTATATTGTTCATTCGAGGTTTCCCTCATTCTCCTGTGCTTTTTCATTTTCCTTAGATATGCTCAGCAACTCTTCTATCATGTTTGTCATTTCTTCTTTTGCCTGAGATATTATTTCTGATCTGATTTCTTTTACAGCCTCATGAAGTAGTTTTTTCTTTTTTTTTTTTTTAACTTTAGTTGCCATCATCCCAGAAGTTTCAGATGTATGACTTCTGCTTTCTTCCATGTCCATGTCTCCTGGGCTTGTTCTGTTTGTGTTGGCAGCCAGAGATTACTTTTTGTTCCTTCATTTTGACACCTTCCTGGATTACTCTGGATAAGCAGGTGGTGGGGTCCCAGGCACTTCCTACACTGGCTACCCATCCACAGTGAAGGGGGATGGGTCAGGCACTTGGGTTTCTCTTTTGCAGGTTCCCAGGAGGCAGCAGGGTGCGGGTTGCACTTCTCCAGACACTTGTGGCTTCTCCAAGTCATGGCTGCTACCTGTAGGACAGTCCCAGTAGAGGCCTGCATGCATAAGAGGGTTGGGCTGGCTGCTCCCCCCGCCCCCCATCTTGCTGGTTGCTTGGAGGAGAGTCCTGATGGAGGCCTGTGGGGTGGGGGCTAGGCTGGCTGCTTCTCCCTGTGCTGGTGACCCACAGAAGAGTTCCAATGACAACTGGCATGCATACAGAGGCTGGGCTGGCTGTGGACATTTTTCTTATTTTCTTATTTTCTTTTTTCTTGGTTGTTCTTGTTATGAGTGTAAAGTCATTTCTAGTTTTCTTGTGGTTGTTGTTCTGCTTTGTTCTTCCTGTTATTTCTTCATTTTCTTTTTCCCTCCTGTCTTCACCAGTTTCCCAAAGTTTGCATAATCTTTCTTTGTCCTCCAGTCATGCTTCTATTTTATTTATTTTAAATAGAAGAAACCCCCAACAAAACAGAACAGGGCCAATCAAAACAAAACAGTGCAAGTGGTACAGAACTTCAAAGCAGGACAACAGGAAATCCACAATGGCTACTATAACATCTCTTGCTATCTTCACAATAGTTGTCCATACCATCAACAAAAAAACTGAAACAGAGTAAAACCATTCAAAACAGAACATTAAATAAAGCAAAACAACAAATCAAAACAAAACTAAACACTGAGAACAACATTGGATTTCAAAAACAAGACAAAAGCAAATCCCCATATTTGCTATATTGCATACTGTCATTCTTCCAACAAATGCTCAGACTACCAGCCTTAGGCCTGCAAAGTCAAACAACACAAGCGTTTGTTTTTCTACCTTAGTTGCTATCAACTCAACCTGGCCTCTGAACCAGCTGACTGCTTACGGAGGAGAAAGGTGGGACTCTTGATTCTCAGCCTGCATGTTGGTTGGCACACAGGACGGGGTAAACTGGCTCTTTTCTTTCTGGACCCTGCATAGCTTGTGCAGCTTACTAGAAGAGCAAATTGGCTTCTTGTAGTACTCTTCCCACACCCTCCATGGCGTCTCCAGCCTAGAAATCTCTTTCTCTTATTTCTCTATTTTCCCTCCTAACTCCTTTTAAATTCTCTCCCCTGAGGATAAAGTCACCATACTGAGGGCCATTTTACTGTATACAATTTCCTGGTTTGTTTCTTTTTTTGGGGGGGGGGCAGGATACTGGGAATTGAATTCAGGGCCTTGCACTTACCAGGCAGGTACAATGCCACTGAGCTATATCCCCTGCCCCTGATGTTAGATTTTGTTATAGAACCACAAATCTAGTTCATATAGTTAAAGATACAAATTAATAGTTACCACAGTTTTTCATTTTCTAGGCCATTTAATGCTATTGTTTTGTTGATTGAAAAGAAACAAGTCACCTTCTGCATACAAGAAACATATTCATTGAAAAAGAAATTCACAAACTGAAAGTCAAAAGGATGGAAAATAATACTCCATGGGATAGGAACCCAGGAAGTAGCAGGGGTAGCTATTCTATTTGTAGATAAAAGTGGATTTCAAGCCAAGACTGATTCAGAGAGAAAAAGGAGATCATCATATCCTTGTAAAGGGAACAATTCAAGAAGAAGAGATAACAATCATAAATGCAGCAAATACCACTGCATCTAACTATATAAAACAAGTATTAATGGACATGAAAAATCAAATAACTACTAACAACTGTAATGGAGGACACCTCAATATCTCATTGTCACAAACAGATCAACTAGACAAAAGCCATCAGTGAAATATTAGAAGTGAATCGAAATTTTTTTAAAACAATGAACAGCGTTTTATTTTTTTGGTACCGGGGATCAAACAAATGACCTCACACTTGCCAGGCAGGCGCTTGTGCTGCTAAACCCCCAGCCCACTGAACCAGACTTTGGAACACATGAACTTAGTAGATGTCTACAGAGTGTTCCACCTGACAGTATCAGAACACGTATTTTTCTTAGCTACACATGGGATATTCTTTAAAATAGACCATTACTAGCCCATAGAACATGCTTCAGTAAATGCAAAGGATTTAAAGTATCCCACACATATTATGAGACCACAGTGCATCAAAATCAGAAATCAATGGAAAAAAACCTCACAAGAACTTCATAAACACACAGAAATTAAGTAACAACCTCTTGAACAACCAGTGAGTCACAGGTGAAATTAAAGAAGAAATTACTTTCTACAATTAAATCATGTCAAATGAACATATTGGAAATTATGAAACAGAATGAAATCAGTCTTATGAGGAAAACTGATAGTGATGAATTCCCATATAAAAACAGAGCAAACTTAAACAACCTGATATTAAAACTCAGGCTTATGGTAAAAGATGAGTAAGTCAAGCCCCAAAGCTCATTAACAGGGAGGAAATTACAAACATCAGAGCAGAAATTAATGCAATGAAAGCCTAAGAAAACAACAGAATCAATAAAAGAGTTGTTTCTTTGAAGGATTAAACTGATGAGCACTTAACCATATAAAAAAACTCAAATTCATGCAATTAGCAATGAAAACGGTGAAATCACAACAGATCCTGCAGAAGTCCAGATCATTAAAACCTACTTTTTTGTATTCTCAAAAGATGGAAGAGGGCTGGGGATTTAGTTCAGTGGCACAAGCATCTGCCAGGCAAGCACAAGGTCATGAGTTCCATCCCCAGTACCCACCCCTGCAAAGGTAGAAGAAACAGAAGTGGACAGATTAGTAGATACCTATGAATTACTAAGAAGTTAACGCCTGTAATCCCAGCTGTCGGGAGGCTGAGGCAGGAGGATCATTACAAGTTTGAGACCAGCCTGAACTACATAGAAACACCCTGCCTCAAAAAGACAAAATAAAATAAAAATAAAAAATACATACAAATTCTAAATAAACCAGTATCAGTCAGTGAAATTGAAAATGTAATTAAAGACCTACCAACAAAGAAAAGCCCCCTGACAGATTCACTGCTGGTTTCTGTAAGAAATTTAAAGACCTGGGGCTGGGGATTTAGCTCAGCGGCATAAGCACCTGCTTTGCAAGCAGGCGGTCGTGAGTTCAATTCCCGATACCGATAAAAAGAGAGAGAGAGAAAAAAAGAAATTTAAAGACCTAATACCTCTACTTTTTAAACTCTTTAAAGAAACTGAAAGGGAAGCAATACTTCCAAATTCATTCCTGGAAGCAAGCATTACCCTGATACCAAAACCAGAGAAGGACTCAACTAAGAACTACAGGTCAATCTCCCCAATGAACAGACACAAAAGTCTGTAAGTTGCCCAGGTTGGGTTTGATTTGGAGCCTCTTGCCTTAGTCTTCCAGAGTTAGGATTACAGGTGTGTAGGGTGTACCACCACATTCATTTTATTAATTTTAAAAAGTAAACAGTATCAGGCTGGGGCTATAGCTCAGCAGCACAAGTATCTACCTGGCAAGTGCAACATCTTAAGTTCGACTGCTGATACCAAAAAAAAAAAAAAAAAAAAATGTAAACTGTCTTAGTTACTACAGTATCTTAGTTTTTATAAATCCCTTATCTTTGGGAGGCATATTGAGATTCTTTTTTTTTTTTTTTTGTATTTTTCTTTTTTATCGGTACTGGGGATCGAACACACGACTGTCTGCTTGCAAGGCAGGCCCTTATGCCGCTGAGTTAAATCCCCAGCCCCGCATATTGAGATTCTTAACACATAGCAATAATTAGGATTTCAAAGACACCAGGAAAGGTTGAAAAAATATAGTCAGCATGGTAGACAGGCAACGGGACCAGACCTGAAATGGTTGTTAGTTACAAGGGTTGAGTGACTGGTACATGGAAGCTTCTATTCTACTATTGTTTTTGTTTTCCACTGGGGGGGGGGGGATATCCTGCTATTAGCTTTATACAAGTTCCTAAAGTTCCCTTCCTCTATATTTCCCACTATATCTTGGCACTGTGAATTTGTTGAGACTCAGGTCAAAGTGTAAGAGGAAGAAATACACTCTTTTCAGAGGATTATCTGTAGTTTTAATGTAGTTGAGAGTCTGTGGCTGGGCCAGATTCATAACCACATCAACACTTTCCATCTCACGCCATACCTTGTTACCGAAGAACCTCAGGGAGGTATACTTCTCTGCTCCAGGGAGAGGACTTGGCTGAAAGCCTACTTGCCCTGTCATTGTGCATGGAGAGATCTGACACTAAATAACCTTTGATTGCACTAAAAGCCCTACACAGGGCACAAGCTGTGCTACATCATGACGTTATGTTGCTTGCAAGTTTCAGAATTCCATGTACTTGTTATGACTAGGGCTGCCTGTCAGACAGGTTACAACCTGGGTAGGGCTGTGTATAAAGCCAGGCCTCCAGTTGTCATCTTTAATTATCAACAAATGTTGGAAGACATTCATGCTCAGTTACCAAGAACATTACCACACAGGTGCTTCCCAGGGGCCAGACCAGTGTGACCACTCCCAATCTGTTCACTCCCATGATATAGACATGAACTCCAAACTCACAGTAATGTAAAACCATTTATTTAATTCTAAATCAAAACACTTTCACAACAGTGAAAATCAGTGACTGGTCAAGGTGTGCTGCTGCACATATTGCCATTTTCTGACTGTGGTCAGGACCTGGTCCTAGTCCACAAGGGCAGCAGGAAGGTGGAGGTGGAGGAAACACGAAAGAAAGATAAGCAGCCTTGGCAGAGAAATAAGGAGCCTGCAGAAGGGCAGGGGTAAGGGGACTTCATTAGGGCTGGGCCAGAGCCCGCCAGAAGTTGAATGGGGATCTACCAAATACACAACCAGGGAATATGGCCAATCTGGCTTTGTTAACAAGTTCCCGGGATGCTTTTGCTGGTGGAGCTATCTTGGACTCCATTTCATTAAATATTCCAAATGATTTGTCTTTTTACTCACATCTCTTCCTTAATCTTTTTCCTGGGCTCAAATGGCTAACGTTAACTCTCCCTCCACTAGTTGATGTTACTAGAAGTAACATCACAGCAGAGATAATCCTGGGGGCCCTGTGACTTTGGGTCCAGAAGCTGATTGAAAAGAGCATTGTTAGGGGGTGCCCAAGAATGTTTAAAATCCATCAGGCACACTATACCGCTGGCGGCTCATTCCTACCAACTGGATTCAGCAAACCAACACCTAGTCAATACTTTATATAGTTTTTAAACACTGAACTCTGGTATTAGCAGGTACAAACTAAAAAAGGTGGGAACCTTACAGCTGGGCTGTTTGTTGTGTATTGCTGAAGGGTAAGCCAGGAACAGTGTGGACTGGCAAAGTGAGCAAGAGGTCTCCAGCAGAAGTCCATCTCTTCTCATCATGGAGGTTTTCAGGAAAAAACCGGACTTCTAGGATTAAGCCTGTTGGGCCAAGCACGAACTGTTCCATCAGGTACACTGTTTATCTGCCTGGCACTACACTCTGATAATCAGGATGAAGCTTACAAAATTGAAAAAGAAATCAAGGGCTTGGAAGAATAACTTTTCTTAATTTTAAGGAGCAGGAAGACCACATTGAGTCATTGTACTGAAGTCTCCCAGGCCTGTGCCCTGGCTTTACAAAATATCAGGGGTTGCCTGCTCAGGTGTCACATACTTTCTCAAGTTTTAGCACACATACAGGAGTTTTTGGAGAACTCTATCAAAGTCAAAAGCAGGGTCATAGGTGAGTCTTCCCTCTCACTGCCTCTTCATAATGGACAACTTGGCTTCTGAGGATGGTGGTTTTCCACATGCAGCTGGGCTGATCTGACAAAATCTCCAACTTCTTCTGGGCAAGGATGCACTCAAGTTTCTGCAGCATAGGGGACAGGGCTACTTGTTCAGTTCTTCCTGCACCAGAGCTTTGAATCCCATTGAGGGTCCAACTCCAGGTCTTTCCTAGTGCAGAGCAGGAGGTCCCAGCTTCAGTAGTGTATGCCAGTTGCCCCGATAGAGAGGGCAGATGAACACAGTTTTGAGGGGAAAGGTAACAGGAAACATGTGGATAGTCATACACCTTACCAAGGATAATCTACACCAGGAAACCAGGAGATCATTTATGCTGCTACCTGGGGCCAAAAACACTGAGCAAGGCCTAGAGCTAATAAATGATCTTTGAGTCTCTGGTAAATTCACAAAGTGGCTTCAGCGGCTATAATTATGATCTTCCTGGAACAGCAATATTTTGGATCTTTGCTAAGAGGAGGAAGAAGAGGAGGAGGAAGAGAAGCAAAGAGGACAGAGAAGCACTTCAATTCTTTACAATAGAATCCTCTACACTAAAAAGCTTGCCAAAACTCAAACAGGAGGCAAAACAAAAATATGTGGAACAATGTGACAGTGAGGACAGAGGTTCTGGGATGGTAACCTCTCTGTATGAGGAGCTCCATAGGCTTCAGAGGCCAGTTACCAAGGGGTATTTAAAGAGATGAAAGTACGTTTCCATAAATACCATTTGGTTCATTTTTTGTGATAAGAAACTCAGGTAAAATTTCTTCCATCTCTTCATCTGTGTAGTCAGGACCTACAGAATTGGCTGAACAGGACTGCATGCTGTCATCTATGACAGCAAGCTCAACAGCACAGCCTGAGGTTACAGAAGGGTGTTTACAGTAGTGGCGATACTTGGGGCTCCTCGGCAACTGGTTGTTGAGTTCCAAAGCTCTGATAGAGAAGATCGACTCCTTGAAGTGTTATTGACCTCACTGACTCCTATAGTCAGAATTAGCCAAGAAGCCAAATATGAGGCTTGAGGGTTGTGTATCACCAGTCCAGAGACCCAGTTGTAGATGTAGACAGAAGGCCAGCATTAGGCAATCAGGAGCCAGAACATGATCAGGAGGGCCACAAACAGGAAGAGGCGTGACAGGAACTGCTCATCTGCATACTGGGGTGTCCCAGGGACAGCTAGAGAGACAAGTAGGAGAAAATGTCAAAAGGCTGCAGCTATCAAAAGTATCAGTCTTCATTTCTAAATTGTACACTGAAGATTTTTTTTTTTTTTGTCTTTTTCATTTTTATCGGTACCAGGGATCGAACTCACGACTGCCTACTTGCAAGGCAGGCGCTTATGCTGCTGAGCTAAATCCCCAGCCCCTACACTAAAGATTTTCAAAACCCAAATAATAGAAGGCAAAACAAAATACTTGAAATAATGTAACAACAAGGAAAAGGTCTCAAATGTATCTGAAAAGGCTTGGCTGGCATTTGCACAGATCAGCTGATTAGTAGGAAACAGTAAAAGCAAAGCTAATGTTATTGGTATGTCTCTGTGCTATTTTGTATACATTATTAACTGGAAGATATTATTCCAAGTTTGATTATGCAGTAGTATCGTGTGATCTGCTGAGGTACTTAGGTTCCTGAGGCAGTGTCTTTCCATACACTGTCCCCAGAGGGCCCCATTCCTTGCTTTGTCAAGAGAAAATGAGGGCCCAGACATCTTACAGCAGGGAAGAGGTAGAACAAAGTCTCCACTAGTCTTTGCATGAGAAAAGCTACCACTTATAGCTCCTTGCCTGAGTTTGAGGGAAAGAGGGTAAGAGAATACACATACAGGAAGCAGTGATTGTTACAGGAAGAATAAAAGAAAGATCTAGAGTCTAGCCTGGCTGTGGGACTAAATGGGAAATCCAGGGTTAGCCTTGAACCAGGCTAGAAGGAAGCGAGCTACCAAAGAGGTTCCTACTACTTCTGCAGGAATCTGCCCTTCCTTTAGGGTGGAGTGCATCCTGCCTTTAGCATTCCCCTCTGAGAAAACAACAACTGAACAGAGAAGAAATTTTTCAGGTGGATTATGTGAGAGAGGGTGCTCCCAGTAGCTCTTGCTGCTATCCTACAGTCCCTGCTGGGTCTTTGATGAATTCACATAGGAAGGCACTCAATTAAGACTTAATGGTTGCCCTATAACATGTCAAGGACCCAGATGAGACACAGGAAAAGTGAGATGACTTCTGAGCAGGTTACCATCTCTAAAGCATAAGCTTCAAACCAGACTGGTCACTTCTGTAACCTGCATCAAGACTAGGGCACATGAGGCTCCAATGAATGCAAGCAGAGTTCAACTGACTAGGGCATCTCCCTAGGCTCTGTAATACAGACCTTGGCACAGGTGTGAGTGTGCAAGAGTTCAGGGCGCATATTTTGTTGCCCTGAATGTAACTGTCACTTTCAAGCAGCTGGAGAGAAATGTAGCTGCAGGTGGCAGACATAAGCATGGTTCCCAAGTGGCTGAGGCTTGGCATCAGCCCATGTTGTAAACGAAGCTCAACAGATACCAGAGAATGGAGAGGCCCTGACTCTTTGTGGGTCATCTCATCTCTCCCTATCACAAAATGGTCAAACTGGGAGGCAGTGCACATGCACAGAACTAGGTTTTTCTAAACAGATATGGAACATGTTTCTGATAAGTTATGAAGCATTTTCTAATCTGTAAAACAAGAGTGTAATGCACATGTGTCCACAAGGTGGCTGTGATGAGTTCTTCAGTAAGGAATGGAAAACATTCAGCATGTGCCTAAGACTTTGTAAGTGCTCAGTTATTATCAGCAGGAGTACCAATAATCTGAGAAGAGTTTAAGACATTTTGTCCAGGTGTGATGGCACATGTCTGTAATCCTTACACTCACGAAGCCAAAGCAGGAATTTAAGGCTAGCCTGGACTGAATAGCAAGGCTTTGTCTCAAAAAAACACAAACAGACATTTTAAAAAGTTGATTATCCATGTAGTAACAATTATCTATAACTTATATACTACTGAATTCAAGGAGTTTTCAAGCGGGATTATTCAAGTATCTTCCTGATTTCTCAAGGAAATAGGGCTTACCTGGAGGAGGCCGCCCATCATTTATGTTAAATGCTGTGGCAAATATGCCAAAGGGAAACGCTCCAATTCCAAAAGACATCTGGAAGCCACCATCTCCAAATCCAAATCCTTGAAATCCCTGTGTGAATGTAAATAAGAGGAAAATGAAAATAAGAAGAAAAATAAGCAAGTTTTCCCCACCCCTGTCAAATTCAGCACTTTCTGAATGTATGCACTCTACCACTGAGCTATACCACAAATTCTTTTTAAAAAACAGTCCTCAGTGAAGAATTTAGCTCAGTGACATAAGCACCTGCCTGGTCATGAGTTCAATTCCTGGTACCAAAAAATAAAACACAGTCTTCCTAAGTAGCCCATGTTGGACTCCAATTTGTGAACCCTCTGTTTCAGGCCTCTAAGTATCTAAGATTACAGGTGTCACTATACCCAATTTAACATGATACATCTTACATGTCATATTGCACATGGTACTCATCTCTCCTTTCTATCGTCTCCCACTGTTTCCAAGGTCTAGTGGGCAGGTTTTCCTCCCCACATAGCAGAGGAACTCTGATGTGCCCTTCTAGCCTTAGCTCCACACAATGGAGCTGTGAATAGAGGGAAAAAAGGACCACCTTGGACCAACAGTGAAATAGCAAAAGTCAGGGTTTTAAGATGTAAGGTTTTATTCTCATATTAGCCAGTAAAATTTCCTTGATAACAGACAACTAGCTTTATAACATACAACTAGCAATGACTCCCATACCCAATTATAAGGCAGCCATCAAAATAAATTATATATCATCCACAACAGCAAAAAAGGTAGAACTCTAACTAACCATCAATGGAAGTCATGATCATAAACTTGATTAACGTGCTCTCCAAAGACCATTATGCTGGTTTAATCTAACAAAACAATAAAGCTGTTGTGATTAAGTTACCAGACAAAACTATCTGAATACCCTCGTCGTAAATCTGTGACAGCTGCAGCCAGGTGTGGTGGCACACAGCTATAATCCCACTATTGAGGCTCCTTGTACAAAGATTGGTGCAAATTTGAGGCCAGTCTGACCACACACCAGGACCCTGTCCTAAAAAACCACAACCAACTGAATAATCAATCAAACAACAGCAACAAAATTCTAAAAAACCAAAACAAATAATGAAAGCGTAAACTAAAATCAACAAAAAAATCCAACTCCATGACAATACATAGGTACGTGAACAAGATATGGATAAACAGTTTTGAACTATCTTCACTGTGGTTACACAGAATTTAAAAAAAAAAATTTTTTTTTTTTTTTTGAGACAGGGTTTTACTGTACAGTTCAGTCTGGCCTTGCACTCACTACAATCCTTCTGCCTCCGCCTCTTGAGTGCTAGGCAAGCATCACCACACTAGCTCATCCTGTTTTTTTCTTGCACGTTTCATCACATCATTTTTCACATAAAAAGAATCAGTAAGAACAAGTGCAATCCAAAACTAGGGCAAATAAGCAATGGCACATGCCTATAATTTCAGTACTCTGGGAAGTTGAGGCAGGACTGCAAGTTTGAGGTCAGACTGGGCAACTTAGCTATTTAGCACGATTCTGTCTCAGGGAAAAAAAATTAAAAAGGGATAGGGATGTAGCTTAGTGTGAAGGCCCTGGGTCTTCTATCCCTAGTACTACTGAAAAATAAATAATCAGGTCAATCTGACCTGGAAACCCGCACTCTTTTTGGTTTTTGAGACAAGTCTCATTTTGTTGCTCAGACTGGCCTTGAACTTACAATATTTCTCCCTCAGCCTTGAGAGTACTAGAATTACAGGCATGTGTTATCACATCTGGCTCCATGTTCCTTTACTGCTATGCATATCTTACAAATTTGTTTCTCTTCCTCTGCATTCCTACTGAGATTTTTAGAGCAAATAACAAAAATAATAAAAACAAGAGAAAATACTGAGCCAGCTGTTCTCCACAGAAAGCTGACATTTGTGAAACTTTTATATGTGCCCACTCTCTGCCCCATACTGAGCAGCCTATCACGTGGCTGCAAACTTCCTTCTGGGCACACCACTTATAAAATTTAGTAGATGATTTAGTAAGAAAGGAAACCTACAGTGAAGAAAAACAGTTTCCATGTCCTCAGTACAGAAATGACTCCTACTCAGATCTAACATGGTTGAGTCTGATGGCTCTTGGGACTGAAGCTTCCTTTCTGGGGAAGATGTACTTGTTTCATCAGGAACCAGAGTTTCATTTGATTGCATCCTAAGGACTGATACTTCCTGCTTTCTTTGTAGCAATATCAATATAATTGTACAAGTCCTCCCATTTGGTAGGTTTGTAGAGAAAAGTATGTAAAAAGCATCACAGGTGGCTGCAGGTGCTCATGAAAACTAGAGCTGTGTGCCACAGTCATTAAGACCAGGGTTTTTGGCTTCCTGGGGCCACTGAGTTATGCTAATTATTAGTGCTCCAAGCAAAACCAGCACTTGATAAATTTAAGGATTGTTGCCTGTTGGTCAAGAGCAGAGACTTCAATACTAGATTTCAGCACTGTCTATGGAACTGGTACAAATTCACCTATCTGGGGTTGTTTCCTTTTCTGTTAAATGAGTTGATATGAGACTTAAATAAGATCATGCATTAAGGCTCTTAAAAGTTATTTATACATAATAATCATTTCATAAGTGTTCAATGCTAATATTATTAAGGGCAATTTGGAGAAGAGGCCCTCAATTTCTATCAAGATCCTTGAATTAATAATCTTATTGCTGGGAATTCTAAGTAAGTACAATAAATAAGAAAAAAAGTGCAAAGATTGTCACTATAGCATTATTTAAAAAGCAAAATGTGAAGGTAACTAAAAATCCTTCATATGGGCATGATGGGTCACACCCGTAATCCCAGAAATCAGGAGGCTGAGGCAGGAGGACAGATTTGAGTTCAAGGTTAGCCTGGACTATATAGTTTCAACTAGCAATAATTGTGCCTCAGATAAACCTCATTGGCTATGATACTGCCTCTGTACAAAGCTCAACTTGGACTATATAGTGAGTTTAAGACCAGCATGAACTTCAATAGTGTGATTCTGTTTCAAAAAAAAAAAAAAAACTTCAATAAGGAAAATCTAAATTATAATACATCTAATTTCAATGGAATAAGTGGCAGCCTTTAAAAATAATGACACTTCAGAACATCACAGAAAACTTTGTCAAAATTAAATTTGAAAGTAGCAAATAGGAGGGTGATGGCCATGTAAAAACATGGATACACAGCCTATAATACACAGCCTATACTGTACTTTAGGAAGTTGAGGCAAGATGATCACAAGTTCAAGCCCAACCTGGACAATTTATTATAAAATTTAGCAAGACCTTGTGTTGAGATAGAAACTAAAGGGGCCAGGGATTTAGCTCTGTGTCATAAGTATCTGCCTGACTGGCAAGCGCGAGGTTACGAGTTCCATCCCCAGTACAAAAAAAAAAAAAAAAAAAAAAAAAAAGGGAGGCTGGGGATATAATTCAGTACAAAGCCTTGCTTTCAAACTTTGGTACCACCAAAACAAAATAAACCCATCACCCACACTGTAAAAACAAATATACAACGTGTAGATGAAATGAACATAGAGAAATAAGAATATACTTTGAGTCAGGCATGGTGGCGCATGCCTGTAATCCCAGCACTTGGAAGGCAAAGGCTGGGAGATCTTTAGATCAGCTTGGGCTATGAAGTGAGAACAAGGCCAACCTGAATTACAAAGCGAGACCCAGTCTAAAAAAAAATATATTTTGTTCTGGGATTCCAGCAGTTTGAGTAAATGTCTTCAATATTTTAACCAAAAACTGCTGTTTTTTTTTTCCCTTTGAGTCAAGGTATTGCTATGTAGCTCTGGCTTGTCTTGAATTTACTTTTGTATGTGTGTGTGAGGTTTTTTTTTTGGGGGGGGGCGGTCTTTTTGAGACGGCTGGCCTTGAACTCATGGTAACCCTCCTGCCTCTGCCTCCTGAGTGCTGGGATTATAGGCATATATATGTGATATTGTGAATTAAACCATATTGAGCTACATCCCAGGCCTTTTATTTTTTATTTTTTTTTAAATTTTCAGATAGGTGACCAAGTCACCCAGGTTGGGTGACTAATGCCCCTAAGGCTCCCAGAATGCTGTTCATCACTATGACAGGCTAAGCACTGTTTTATTTGTTTTGAGACAGTGTCTTGCTATGGTAGTCCAGGCTGGCCTCTCATTTATAATCCTTCTGCCTCACCTTCCCAAGCATTCGGATTTTAGGCATGTGTTACCACACTCAACTAAAAAATTGGTTTTTAAACATTAATGTGTGTAGCTGGGCGTGGTGGCTCATGCCTGTAATCCCAGCACTCGGGAGGCTGAGGCAGGAGGATAGTTGTGAGTTCAAGACCAGCCTAGGCTACAAAGTGAGCTCAAGGCCAGCCTGAACTACACAGTGAGACCCTGTTTCAAAAAGACCAAAAAAAAGATTAATGTGCGATTTAAAAATGCACATTTTGAGCCAACAATTGTATCTGCTCAAAACTTTTAAATTCATCAAAGTATTTTTAAAATACAAAACTCTCCTGCCTATCATCTGCATTCTTAGAAGGCTGAAGCAAAATGATCACCTGAATTCAAGGCCAGCCTGAAATACATAGCAAGGGTGTCTCAAAAAACAAAACAGTACAAAAGGTGGGTATGGTAGTGCATGCCTATAATCCCAGCATCCTGAGGACCTCTGTGGATTTAAAGCCAGCTTGAACTGCATAGAAAAAAACAAACAAACAAAAAAACCCCAAACAGCTACATGTCTAAGGACATTACACATAAGGAAATTATGCTAAATTCATACACCTGAACATTAGTCATTAAAACATTACTGACAGCAGATCTTTAATTAAGTCTCAAACTATATTGAAATTATTCACTTGCCAGTATAAACTCCAAAAAGCAAGAATTTTTACTTTGTTCACTGATAACTCATCACTACCAAAATGTTCAGTCTATAGATGATGCTTACTACTTGGAGAATAAGTGAAATTTTAAGTTATAAAATAGGAGGCACACATTGAAGAAAAATATGTAAATATATGTCAATAAATAAGACAGTAAAATCAGTAGGTATGTAAGACATAAAAAAATAGGCATGAACCAAACAATTCTTTTTATTTTGTAAAGTAAGAAAAGAAAGAAAAAAGAAAAAATAGAAAAATGGAACAGAAAATAAATAAAAATGCTCCCAGTGGTAATTTCTGAACAGTGTGGGAATAAATGATTCTATTCTGCCACTTTTTCCTTTCTGTAATTTGCAAGTATTTCTTTATTTCTATAATCAAGGAGAAAAATGGATACAGAATCCCTATGATGAATGTTATCACTATATACCTAAAATGTACCTTTATTGGTACACTGATTTAAAAAAAAAAAAAGGACAAAAATGATAGGATTAATAGGGAAGCTTCTAAAGCCATAGACTCGTTTCTAGAAGTTTCTCTTAGAATGTTTCTCACCCCTCTATTTTCCGGCTCTGGTCTTTGGCCTTGAGGACGAGGAGGGGTCTTCTCTCTGAAAAGAAATGGTGTAGTTAGTCCATTGCAAAATGTCAAGTTGCTCAAATGAAAATTGGGTATTTTTTATTGATAGAGTCAGGGTACTCTTTCTTGCCTAGTATATAAACTTACACTGAATTAACTAAAAAATACTAACTCTTCATTCTACCTGTGATTGCTTTCCCTCACTCTATAGAGAACCAGGGTGAAAATCAGCTTGTTATGAGAGATATTCTTTAGGTTGCATTACAGTCTACCTCTTACAGAAATAATGGTCCAGAATGCTTTCCCTGTGCCTATATGATATTGGGCTTATGGAGATCAGAAATCTCAAACCTAAACTGAAACAGAGGATGGACTACCAGCTGAAGGAGTTGAAATTCTGGGTGTCTCTTTGATCTATCTCTACTAGTTTTAGCTTTATCTTTCATTATTCTTGGGCAAGTATCTCAAGCTATTCTTTTTATCTCTGAGTCTTATCTCTTCTGATCACTCATCTCACAAATGGTAGGCTGATGGTTTATTACATATCTGACACTAGGCAGGATGTTACCAGTAGTAAGACTGGTGACAATGGGACATATGAACATTCACAAGGCAGTGTGGAAAATGATTAACAAAATGTGAATGCTAATGATTAACAAAATGTGTCTTTAGGGCTGCTCATAAAAGATGGATTTAAATTAAGAGGAGATAGGCAGTAAATGATGGTTTCAGTGGGACTACGGAGGGTAGAAGAGATAGAACAGAGACTAAATACAAAAGCTGATGAAGATAAAAAGGCAAATCCATTTAATGAAAGTCCTTTTTTTTGAGACAGGGTCTCACTACATAGTTCAGGCTGGCTTTGAACTCACTATGGAGCCCAGGCTGGCCTTGAATGCACAGTGGATACTCCTGTCTCCATCTCCTGAGTGCTGGGATTATAGGCATGTGCCACCATGCCCACCATAAAAGTCCACTCTATCTCAGGTACGGGCTTGCTGGGTTGAGGAGGGAGAAGGGAAGAGATATTTTTGGAGAAGTTGAAGTTGCCAGACTATGAACAGTTCTTAGTATATAGACCTATAAAATGCTAGATGCTACCAACATCTTCATTTCTAGAAATTCCAAACTCCACAAAGCCACCTAGTCTCCTTGTTCACCCATACTTAATATATCACTGTTGCAGCAGCCTCACTTCTTGTAGACTCTCCTGCTATACAGCCTGCTCTACAGGCTGTAAAAAGTACTCTTTCATAGCACTTTTCACACTTGTGATTTTAATGTCTTGTGTACCGCTAGATTCCCAGAATCAGCACACAGCCTATCTACTGAAAGATGACATACAGTGGGCACTCTGTTTTAGCCCAGCAGGTGGCAACTTGGGACTCTCTCATTACCTGACCCTTCCCAGCTGACTCCCAGCTGGATTAAGACTGCCTCAGAATTGAGTAATCAAGTACCAGGTAGAGTGGTATCAGGGAGTGATGAAAGGAAGTAAACTTATATCCAAGGGGAGAAGTGGGTATGACATGCATCCCAAGTCCTCACCTGGGGTCCTGCTGCCCAGTGCTTCCTCTGCCATACAGTGGGATCACCTTGTCTCTGCTGATGCCAGCTTTGCAAACTGGACACACTTGTCTGTTAGGTCTGGTCTCCAACCACTATAAGCGGGAAAGAAAAATACAGAAATGGTCAAGAATCCATCAGAGTAATGGTCAGTTAGAGGCAGCAGGAGAATATTCGACTTCCGACTGGGAAATAACAGCACAAACAGGGAACACTTCAAAAAACTTAACTCTAATTCCTGCTCCTAGCAGTTAATAAATATTTACTAGTGGTGAAATAAAAATTGTCTTTAATACTATTATTTGTTTTTATTTTCTTGTACCACTGGATAGAAATTTCTGGGTTTGGCTTTTTTGTGTGTGGTAATGGGGACTGAACCTAGAGCCTTGCGCATGCAAGGCAAGAGCTCTACCCCTGAGCCACATCCCCAGCCTAATACTAATATACTTAAATTGACTTTTTTTTAAAACAGAGTCTCACTCTGTAATTCAAGCAGGCCTTGAGGGAACTCTCAGAAATTTTCCTGCCTCAGCCTCTGGAATGCTAAAGTTACAGGTGTGTACCACCATGCCTGGCTCTTAAAACAGGATTCTTCAAGTTTTGTTTTTCATTAGGGATCACCAGCCATACAGCAGGAAGGAACTGTAAGCATGAGGCTGCCAAAGGGTCTAATCTTAGGTTAGACTATTGATTATTAGTGTGACAAACTAAATTTCTGCCTTTACAAGGCATAGTGATACATGACTTTAATCCCAATTCTCTGGGAGGCTGAGGCAGGATGATGGCAAATTTAATTAAGGCCAGTTTGGGTAATTTAGGTATTATCTCAAAATAAAAAATTAAAAGACACAGGGATAAAAGAGAGGGAGAAAGAGGAACAGGGAGAGGGAGAGGAAGAGGGAGGAGAGGAAGAGGGAGGGAGGGAGAGAAGGAGAGAGGGAGAGAGGGAGAGACAGACAGAGACAGAGAGAAAGACAAAGATATAACTTAGTCCAAAAGAGATGAGGTTCAATCCCCAGTACCACAAAAACAAACAACCCTCTACCTTCCCCAAAGGATTGACTATAGTATATCCACATGTAAGTACTATTTTTCTATGATTTCAGATTTTTATACCATTTCCTCAACAACTGTGTATCCCAGAAGTCAGCACTTTGGCATAAGTTAATCATCTTTTGGTGATATACTGTGTGTTAAAGAAGAACTTTTAGGGGCTGGGGATTTAGCTCAGTGGCATAAGTGCCTTCCTTGCAAGCAGGTAGTCATGAGTTCGATCCCCTGTACCAATAAAAAGAAAAAAGACAAAAAAAAAAAATTGTAAGAAGAACTTTTAGTTGGGGTGGTGGTACATGCCTGTAATCCCAGTGGTTGGGAGGCAGAGGAAGGAGGATCATTACATGCCAGCCTGTACTACGCAGGAAGTTCAAAGCTAGTCTGAATTACACAGCCTATCTCAAAAAACAAATGACAACAGACAAAACAAAAAAAAAGGGAAAAATTTTAAAAATCATATAAATTTGATTACAGTTGCTTATAAACTCTCATTGATTTTTGAAGTTTCTTTTTTTTTTTTAACCAGTACCAGGGATCGAACTCATGACCACAGGCTTACAAGGCAGGCGTTTATGCCACTGAGCTAAATCCCCAGCCCCACTCTCAATGCTTTTTGCATTCAACTATTTCTTTCAATATCAAAAACACTAAAATCCTGTTTTGGGTTCCCAGACCTTTTCACTGGATACATTAAAAGTATTTTGCTTTACTTCTTTGTTTTTTTTTTGAGATAGGATCACTCTATGTCAGAGATGGTGAACTTTTTAGAGCTCTCACTGACACAAACAGCCTGCCTGCAGCATGTGTGCCATAAATTTGTTATCACTCTCCTACATTGTCCAGGTTGGGCTTAGATTTGCTATGTATCCCAGGTTGGCCTCGAATTTGAGATTCCCTGCACCAGCCTCTCAAGTGTTGGGATTAAAAGGTATGTACCACCACACTTAGCTTGTGTTAATTTTTTGAAAAACAAATATCCCAGAGGCTAAGACAGGAGAATCATTGCAAGTTAGAGGCTGGCTATAAAGCAATACTCTGTCTCAAAAAACAAACAAAAATGATAAAACATGCTAAAAAATGATAAAACCTATATTATCTTTATAGATTGTAGATAAATTCATATGTATTTTTTCTCAACTTTTATTTTATTTTTGATGCTAGGGAGAAAACTCAGGGTTTTCATATACTGTATCACTGGGCTATATCCCCAACCCTTCAATATTTATTTTGTAACATAAATTACACCTTTAGACTCAATGATGTGAGATTTATTACATGATTGTGACTATAGGATAGGGTTCCAGGAATACAGTGACAACACCATTTAATTATTATCTACTTTCTTTATAAGACTGTTGCTATCTCCAAAACCTACATTATATGCTTTTCCTAATAAGTTCACAAGCAACACGTTCTATCAGGTTCTACTAGGAGTCAAGACTGCTCAGCCCTATCTCCCCCTTCTTTCTCCCATCCAGATTCTGAGGCTTAACATATCTGGAAACTTGTCCTACGCCACTTTTGGGTATGGCCACCTGTAAGTGTGGTACTCTACTGCACGCAACTATGGAAGTAACCAAGTGGCAGTGATAACTTATACATAACTGTGACTGCCAGGCCCAGTTCTGTCTCATTTCACTGGTGTTTAGGTCTTGGTGAATGTAACTGGCTTTTATAATAATCTAAACCCAAGAAAACAGACTTTCCTTCCTCACAAAAGCTGTCACGAAAAATGTTTATCCCATCATCATTTTCAAAACCTTTAAAAATAGGAGGACTGTTGATAGGAGGGAAGATATTTCTCAAAAATAAAGAGGATGTAATGTTTTATCAAATCTAACCTAACTTAAAATGAAGAACTGAGACTACTGAAGTGGTGGCCTGCTAAGGCCACAGTGGCCACTGAGAGCAGAGTGAGGACAATCCTGGGTACTACAATGACCTCTTATTTCATTACATGCCTACTAGTAGACAGGTGTATAAAAAGGGTGGGGGAGCAATAAGCAAGCAAATGAGTCCAGAAACAGGGGAGATTACAGTTTCTGACAGCAGTCTCCTGAGACCAGAGCTGTCTTGTGCAACCATAGCTGATGAAAGACACAGTAAAATGGAATGCATCTTACCTGATGTAAACACGGCCAACTGCCAGAGTCCCCCGGGGAACCAGTTATCGAAGAGAAAGGGAAAAGGAAAAAAAAAGGCTTTCATTAGCAGAAACACTTGATCAATATGGTGGAAGTACCAGAATGGAAAAACTAGGGAAAATCAGGGCATTACATTCCCACTGAGGGATTACTGGGATCAGAAATTAGACATCACAGGCAAGTAAGACAGTGGAGATAAGACCCCAGTCTCCACCTCTGGTATCCTACTACACGTGCAAGCCCCTAAGGTCCAGATCATCCAGATAGCCTTCAGCAGTTACAGCCTCTGAAAAAATCCAAAAGCTAAGTATCTTCTGTAGAAAAATTCACAGGCATTCTAATTCAGTGCATGAAAGCAAGTTAGAGGCTTGCTATTTTATTTCCCAATTTTAGTGGGTTCATAGCTACCTCAGGCTCACGAAGGAAGTATGGACTCCCAGGTAGCTCAGATCCAGTTGGACAGTCTTCAGGCTGTCCTCTGCCTTATAGTTCTGCTAGCAGGAAGTATGTTAAAAAGTTCAGGCCTACTCTAACAATATCACTGAGGAATGGTAAGGATGGGGAAGGTACCTGACAGAGCGACCCACAGCTTAGAGAGCTGCTGTTCAATGTCTCATTTTTCAAAGGAGGAAATCAAAGCTCAGAAACATGTACCAGAACTAAAAACAGTCTCAGAATTCTAATTTACAGTCCTTTCAACAGCCAGCACCACATGGAAAAAAAAAAACTGGCATTTACAGAATTGAAGGAAAAGATTCAAGATTTTTAATAACTCTTCTTATTACTTAATTCATTCAAATAGGCATACTGCACACCTGCTATTCACTAGGGCATTCGAAAATGCAGATATGGTTTTGGTCCCTCACATATTATATGTATTCACTACCTGAGTAAACCATGGACTCCGGATAGCTCCTTTCCCAATTCCTAAACCAATTCAGTTTCATAAACCAGATATAAAATTTTTCTGGACAAAACATATGCCTCATATCTGACTCCAATTTTAACTTTTCAGTGCCATTCTAACCAGAGTGGAGTGTCATGCAAATCATGGCAGATTCTTTTTGGTAGCTTTTCACAAAGGTTCTCTCAGTGAGAAGTAGAAGAGAATGAATGACCCTCAGAGGAAAGTTTAGGATTCCTTCCATTTATTAAGCACCTACTGTGTGGTAGGATGTGGCTGAACACCTTTTCATTTACTAATGTCACTGGATGGTCACATTAACCTACTAGAGGGTACAATTATCTTCATTTTATAGATGAGGAAAATAAAGTACTGTGCAGAGAAGCTAACAGATTTGCCCAAAGACAGACCACCTACTCTGGAAACAACTGTATCATTTTGAAACCCATGTTCTTTTCAATGGTTCTTTGCTTCTTTTTTTTTTTTTTTTTTTTTTTTTTTTTGGTATTGGGGACTGAACTCACAATCTCATGCTGGCCAGGCAGGCGCTTACACCATTGAGCTAAATCCCCAGCACCCCCTCTCTTTTTATCTGGTACCAGGGATTGAACTCATGACCTTGTGCTTGCCAGACAGTGGCACTGGGCCACTGAATTATATCCCCAGCTGCCTCTTAATTCTTAATTCTGTCACTCCTTAACTTGATTTTATGGTATTCTGAAGTATTTACAATTTGATACAGCTGACAACAACAGTTTCACAAAGATTAGGGCAGGCCATCTGAGAACAACAATAACATCTCTGCACAATTCTATTAATTACCAATAACTTTATCTTTTATACTAATGCCAAGTTAAACTTCTCTAAATATTGCTTAAATGATTCTCATTTTTTACTACTTTCCTATAAAAAATATTCATTAGCTCTATGTTCTCTCAGTCAAATCAGGTTTGATAATCTGGTCCAACCCTTTACAACTGGTTGTTTTTTTCTAATATGTCTAGCCTCCTGTGCAGGGGGCTTAAGAGGTATACACTAGCTTCATGGCCTCAGAGAATACCAAAAGGGCACATGACTGTTCTTGGAAATTGCCAGCCTTGGGATGGCATGGACTTTTTGTCTTATTTGCCATTCATACCCATCTACTTTCAAGGTTCCTCTTCCTTTTTTCAAGGTTCAGCCCAAAAATCTCAGGAGACAAGAAGCAAAACTCAACATTCTCCCAGATTCTCAGAGCTGACAGGAGCTTCTATAGCCATCAAGTCTGAAATGGACAAAGATCCTGACCCTTCATTTTGATGCACACAAAATAGTGATGATTATGGTCAGCTAACACATAATATTTGCTGCTTGTTACGTACTGTTCTAAGCCTTTTATATATTTTGGAACATTTATTACTCACAGATAGCCCAATAAAATGAGACAGAGTGTGTATAAGCACCTTGTCCAAGGTCAATTAACAGGAAAGTGGCAGAGTCAAGATTTGTGGGGAGGAAATATGGTTCTACAAGTCATTGGCACAACCATTATGCTATACTGTCCCTACTTCTAGGTTCAGCACATCATGTGGCAGGTATTAGTATCACTAAGTGGTATTACTACTGGAGAAATGGGGAGAAGCAACCCAGTGTGAGGACAGTATTTGCTCAAGGTCACCCAGCTTAGCAGCAGCAGGGTACCTAGGTCTTCTGCCCCTTTGGCCTAAGTATATTAGGACCCAAAGAGAGTGAGAAGTCTTCTATTCTTAAACTGCACAGGGCCATGGGCTTTCCAAACTTTGCAGCAAGACCTCTGAGATGGCAGCAGGGATACTGACCAGAAGAGGTGGCCACACAGGCTGATGACGGCGTCCTTGGCTGTATCCAGGCATATGTTGCACTCGAAGGTGCTGTCTTGGCTTCCGCTCTCACCACTGCCATTGCTGCTCCCACTGGGTCCCCCTGCACTGGAGTTCTCAGGGGATGCAGAGGCTGAGGGCCCCTTGCTTGCCATCCTTGGCTATCAGCAAATCTCTGAGTGAAGAGTCTCTCCAGGAAAATCCTGAAAGGCAGAAAGCCCTCGATTGTCCACTTCTGTGGCCACTTCCCCTGGCTTTCATGCAAATACTCCCATCTTCTCTCAGTAACAAAAGTGATGGTGACTAAATTACTGAGCAGACTTTCCAGAGGGATGCTGAGAACAACAGCTGTTGGTGGTACCCATGAACTTGTCATGAATGTGGCCCAGAATATATTCTGCAAATAAGCTGCAAGAATCCTGAACAGCTTCCAGATGGTGCTTCATGGAAGCTGTCATTATCTTTATTCTGTGATACCCAACCAAGATGATAAATGCATGCTCAATTAAATTGAACTTTCAGGCTGTCCTCTAATGTTGGACAGCCTCTAAATTGGCCAAGACAGGAAAATCTGCTCGTTTGTGATTGATATATTTCACAATTTAAAGATATTCCTATAACTGTAAAAAGTTAGGAGGGTCCAGATAATGGTTTTCCACATTGCAATCGTTTTTATTCTTCCTTTTGCCATGCTGGCATATCACCTATCTTGTCTGAATTTATCAACATTTTATTCTTATTACATTAAAAGAAAGTTACATCACTGCTGTAAATGAAAAACAAGTATTATTTATAAGTAAAGACAGGTATAAATGCAATGAAGAAAAAGTTACTTATCCTTACACCAAGTTACATGGTACACTCACGCTATGCTCTGGGCAATACTGATCTGGTTCCTATCTCTTCAGTGAACTATAGCCTGAGTTACTTTGGCTACCATGGAACTGAGACTGGGACTCATGATACCCCGTTTGTATTTAAACCACTTACTACTGCAAACCAAGCTGGCCGCCAAAGCCTTTGAACTCTGAACTACATCTTAAGCTCTGAACTAAAATTTTAAGTTGCCTAGTCTGGGCTCAAACTTGTGATCTTTTTGCCTCAGCCTGCCATAATGTTGGCATTATAGGTGTGTACCAACTAGCATGCCCTGCTGAAATGAACCACTGTTGACTAACACTTCCAAGTCAAAGAACCAGCTGGGAGTATAACAAGGACAAGACCAGCACAAAGGGATACCCACAAGTCTTGTGTATTAAGAATCTGTTGGGAGGCTGGCTGATCTGGCCATCCTCATCTCAGAAATTCCAAGTAGAAAAGTACTGACTTGCTACCATAGTCAGAGAGCTGGAGTCTTAGTGCTGGTCTTCCCCAAGGTTCCACTTGCTAGAAGAAGTCAGGTATGCTCTGCTGGCCTTATTTTTTTCACATATAAAAACAGATTTTGGACTATATGGTGGCCCCAGGCCACTGCCTTCTAGCATTTATAACTGGGCCACTCCAATTCATCTCATCCTCTGTCTCCAAAACAAGCAGCTTCTCCATAAACGTAGGACTCACCACTGGAGCACCAGAAGACCACCTCGATTTCAGCTTTCAAAGTTCAAAGAGGTAAAGATCAAATATGCTGCAGTTTTCTCAGACCAAGAAGTCTCCACTGAGTCTTCACAGAGCAGACTCAGCGCTCTGGGCTCATGAGAAACTCTCACTAAGATAGCAGCTCAGAGACTCCAGCAGGGAGAAGAGCCAACTCACCGCCACGTTTTCACTTGGTTACATCATTTTACGTGATGTCCCAGAAGGGCATGTGGCTGCTGACAGAACTAGTGCCTTGGTAGCCTCAGCTTTAAGACCTCCCTGATCAAGAGCTCCCTCCTTTTTCCATATATATCAGCTCTCTTTACCTAAGTAAACTTGTTTTTCTAGACATGCCGGCGGAAGAATCCTAAGTACTTGACCCACATGCATCCTCCCCAACCACTTACGGTGTTGGGGGACTGAATTTAGAGCCTCATACATGCTAGGCAAGCACTCTACTGCTGAGCTGTACCCCTAGAATTGGTGTCTACTTTATCTTTTGAAATTATTCACTATGTAAAAGATGAGGAAAAGACTATCATAAAGTCAAGCTCGCCAATCAATTTTAACAATAACCTCTTGACCTGATTCAATGGGAAATGCATAGCATCATCAATGAAGCATTTTTGACTTGAAACAAAGACTCTAATTAACCTACAGAAATTACAGATTTACAGAAAATAAGGATACATATATTAATTCCAGAGGATATAATCAGCCAGCTCCAACTACAGGAATAAATAATTCAAGTTCGCCAATAAATAAATAACACTGGTAGGGCTCAGAGTTAAAGGCTAAAATATAAGATATAGTAATCACTTGCAGAGTGTGGATTTTGCTAGAATCAGATTCAAATAAGTCAATTATAGAATGACATCTATGAAATCTCTGACAAAAACTGCATTTTGTTTTTGTAGCAGATGATATATGATAAACTGTTGAGAAAATAAAATCAATCTAGTTGACAACAAAAAAGAATTATATTTAGCTGAGTGTGGTGATACATGCCGTAATCCCAGTAATCTGGGATGTGGGAGGAGGACCACAAAAGTCCAGCCATGGCAATTTAGGAAGACCCCTAAAACAAAAAAGTACTAGAGATAGATATAGATTATTTATAAATATAGATATAGATATAATCTTTTGAAATCTGACAAGAGTAAAGTACATTTAAAAAATTTCCTTGATTTAGGTGTGTGGTGAAGGCCTAATAACTATAGTACTCGAGAGGCTGAGGTAGTAGAATTATGAATTCAACACTACATAGTAGTTTAAGGCTAGCCTGGACTATACAGTGAGCCTATCTTTAAAAAAAAAAAAAAAAAATTAGCTGGGGGACGGGGCCCAGGGATATGGCACAGTGCCTGCCTGGCAAGTGCAAGGTCCTGAGTTCAATTCCTAGTACCAAAAAAAAAAAAAAAAAAGTTGCCTGCACTGTTCAAATCCTGACTCCATTACTGCTTGGCCATGTGGCCTGGTATATTCCTTGCTGGCTTTAATTTCTTTTTTAATCTAAAAAGTGAGGGTATCATGCCTCCTACAGGGCTTTGAGATAACACAGCTCCCACAGCAGGAGGGGCTGCTGGTGCTAAAGAGTCTCACATATAAACCACTGACCTTGGTTACCATCCTCTCTACTCTTGGGATTCAACAAGCCTGGGCAGTCCATACTCCCGCACACAAACATAAGCAACAAACTGGGGTCAAGGCAGGTGTCAAGGAGGAATGGTCAGGACATAATCACATGTCAGCTCACTGTTTGCAAGGTGTGACAGAGACAGGATTGTATGTCCAAACTTACATCATATTACTCTCATTCTAATTCTTGTTAGACTGACTATGTGGTCCCTTCCCTGGGCTCTAGAACGTCATTCTAGTTGGCACTCTAATATTTGCTGAATCAATGATACAGGCATGCATGATTGTCTTGGTCAACTGCCAGAACAGTGGCTAATAAACCTTCTGCGCAACATATCCTGGGCTCTAGAGCCATACAAACATCCTTGAAGCATCTTCTATTTACCTCTTCTCTAACTACATGCACAGGAACTTAACCACATGAGAGTGACACGGCAGAGATGAGTAGGCTCCACTGGACACCATCTATAGACATCTGTGGAACAATGTGGCAACAGCCTCATGGGCCCTGTAGTGCTAGGACAGGACCCAGAAAAGAGGGTCCTGACTGGATCAGGAACTGGACAAGGGAAAGAGGAAAACAGACCCTTAGCGTGCCTGAGCTGCTGTCCTACTAAAAGCAGTCTATAGACTTTGACATGATCACATAGCAACCATGATGTGGCTAGTTCTGTGTTCTGTCCCCTGCCATGTGTGTGTGTGTGGAGGTATCTATACTGCCCAAATTGGTCTTGAGTTTTGGGTTCAAGTAACGCTCCTACCTTGGTCTCCTGAGTTCTGAAATCTGTATTTTGTTAATGTGTTCCTCCCTCTACCCTGAATGATTTTCTGATGAGCAGTTTCAGAAACATAGTTCTAGAATAGGGTGAACTCTACCAAAAATAAACAGCAATAATACCAGCAAAACACAGTGTTTGACAGAGACAGTAACTTCAGGGCCTATCCTTCTGAATGTGTAACACTTGTCTCCAGTCCACAGGGATTGCAAAAAGGTTAGATAAACTGGGGTGGGAGACAAGTCTGCTGAGATCTTAGACTAGACAGCACTTAGTCCATCTGAGACACAAATGACCACTTAAGAAACAAGTTCCATGCTGTGTATGGTAGCACAAGCCTGTGGTCCCAGAACTCAGGAGGCTATGGTAGTTATTGAAGGTCAGCCTGGGCTACATAGTGAGACCTTGTCACAAAAACAAAACAAAACAAAACAAAACAAAAAACAAAACAAAACAAAACAAAACTTCCAAAAAAGAAATAAGGTTACCTTTACTTTTGTAAAATATTCAATTTATATTACCAGCATGACCTATGAGACTAAGGCAGATTGGTAATACTTAATGATCTGTTAAGAGTACACAGTCTGATTATGACTGATCCAGCATCCTCACTACTACCTTCCCAAAGTTGGCCTTTGTTCTGCCTGCCCTGGCCCACTTTATAGAAACTGAGTAAGCAAGAGAATATCCCTGCGCAGGAACCACAAAAGAACTCAATCTCATAAGGAAATTTCTTTCAGTATTCTTGTGGTCAGCTCTCAGGTTCTAGCAAACTGCAGAAATTCATAATTTGCCTTCTTGGTCCCATATAACTCAAAGAATTCCTCGACCAGGTACATAGAGGCACCTAGAAATGTTAATCTTAGTTACAAAGGTGACTAATTTGGGTAAAAACAACTCACATGATCCCAGCAATTGTCTTGTTTCTTTGAGCATGTCTGTATATACAGAAGCTTTCTGCCAGGAACCTTGGTATGACTGAGCCTGTCTGTGCAGCTCATTAGGCTGCTGCTAAAGTGTAGGCAAAGATGAGATTCCAAGAATGTCCATTTTATGCTCATAGAAGGTGAAGTAGGAAGAAACAAGTAAGTCAACTGGAACTTGGAACACACAGAAAGCAGCTCTAGAATTTTAGAGAATAAATGGTGTTTAGGTCCCTATGCTAGTCCTCAGAGACCTGTGCCTCAAATACAAGACTAATGACATGAAAG